GGACGGAAGAATGAATGCCTACCGCGTCCTCATCTATCCCAGACCGCGCTCATATACAAACATTAATGAACGTACCCGTGAAGAATCATATTTTCATAATGTTCTTCACGAACGCAAAATATAACAACCACAAGTGGAACGTGTTAACAAATGTCAGTAGAACCCAGAAATGTAAAATTCTGTAAAAATATATTCGACGGGTCTCAGAGTTGTTACGTGTTTACAGAAGGACGGACTGACAAACATGGTTTTTGCAGCCCTTCTCCCAGGTTTGTAATTGGTAAAACTATTAAACTGTATTAATTATTATTAAGTATAAATATGCTTACTTTACTTAACATCAATTAATTATGTAATTCAATGACCCAGGGTCTTCATTTAAAAGCTTTGTATTTGCCCAGCAAGTCAAGAAATTGCCCTCTTTTATGGGATCCTAGGGTTCACTACCATATTTACAAAAGCCCACCACTGAACCTATTCTGTGCCAGTTGAAACCTGTCCGTGTGATCGTAATTTACTTTCCTCATGTCCGTTTATAAAAATACCCCAACTATGTCTGTTACTCATTAACTACATATGTCAAGTACACCTTCTCATTCTGGTTCAGTCTTGGTTTAATGACGCTTGTCAGACATTATGTTGACAGAGTCATTGTGCACGTCCAGCGACGGATCGGCTGGTGTGTGCAGGGCATTGTCGGACTGTCCGGCTGTACAAGATAACATTCGGTACAGAAGACTGCCCTTCCCCGTCTTCTGTCAGTCCAAGAATACGGACCAAATCGTCTGCTGCTCCAACACCAGGGGGGTCGAGTCGATGAAGCGAGGTGAGGTTGTTCGTAATTTTACTTCGGAGTTTATTCGTAAATGCTGAAGAAAGATACCAGAAGCACGAAGAAACAGAGAAGCATTTAGCAGGGTTCTTCGTAACAAAGTAAAGTTGTGGCACTATACACCAAGCAGGCGTTTGGGGGAGAGAATCTTTCTTTAACAGTTTGCTTTGGGGGGATGGGAGTGTTTCTCAGTACTTTTTGAAACCTAAATATTTCGACAGAGGAAATAGTTCGTCAGACACTGGCATGAAGAATACTACGTACAAGCGAATGCTGCTCCTTTTTTTTCAGTATGTGAAGGGCCCGACTTGAATAAATCCGTACCTCAGGAAGACACATCAAGGGCTAGAAGATATAGCGAATATTATGCCATCTACGGGGGAAGCTACGTGATTGAAAGGGAATTCCCCCATATGGTGAGTGCGTCTGCCACGGTACACACTTCCTTCTTGAAAAAATATTTTGCTCTCTCTCTTTCCTTCTTCTATTCTTCCTTTTCCTCTCTATTTCGTGTTTCTCTCTTGCCCTCTTTGTATTTTTCCGCTATCTCCTCCTCTTTGTCATTTCCTTTATCTTCTTATTTCTCCCGCTTTCTCTCTCTTTCCACCCCGTTCCTGTTTCTCTCATTCTTTGTCTCTTTCTTTGTTCCTGTTCCATACAATTATTACGCATTCATAAATTTTATTAATTCTTGTTCCAATGTAATATGACAACTTTAAATGTACAGGCATTTCTTCTAGATGAGTTGTTTGCTAATTTATGTATTTCACTAGTCTAAGTATTAATTTATCAGATACAAATCCGTTGATGCAATTTGTAACACTACAGAATCTACACTGCATAACAGCCGGAAATCGTGTTGCTGATAAAAGATCAGAGAGAAAAAATATTTTAGATAATGTAAATAATGAAAAATATTTCAAACAAAGCCTACAGATCATTATACTATTCTACATATCATAAATGGGGTCTTTTGGAGGAATTTTATAAAGTTTTATACGAAATGTAGACTTTATATAAAGCAGAGGTTTATAATAAACCGCTACACATCAAAATTAAATTCGACACATAAATCTTAGACTAGACCCCGATTACAATATTTTGTGAAAACCCATTTAGTAGTTCCAAAGAAGAAACATACTTATAGACACACTCCAAATTACGAGTACATTTTATACACGTTCTGTACAGAATGAATAAAAGTAGTGTATGTATGTTGTCCTGTTGTCCAGGCTGCCGTGGGATTCCTGAAGAGGGGCCAAACGCTCTGGCTGTGCGGAGGGTCACTAATCCACAAGAGATTCGTGCTGACCGCCGCCCACTGCGTGGAAGATAATTCGAGATATCGATAGTAAGTACGAGGGGGTTCAAATGCTAGCGTTATCGGAGTTATAGGTTCAACAGATACCGTTCGAGGGCGATTATGACATATCAAGATTCAGCAGAAAGGTCAAATCCGCTCGTTATTGGTTTAAGAGCCTCGAAGCTTGAAGATGGAGACGATTCCTTCCTTCCTAGAAACTTTGGTAACCACCTGCAAGACAAAGCTTCTCTAAAAGGAATATACTCCATGGTGTTAGGTTTCAGATACAACGAACGCCGTGGTCGTCGAGTGGTTACAGCTGTTGCTTCGTATTGAGGAGGTCATGGGTTCGATTCTCAGCACAGAGATCAATTATACTGACTTAGTGTTCCACTCATAGTTTCTCTCAGTATTTTCCGCCAAATTTCGGGACAGCGGCTTCAATTAAGCCATGACTGCTTCCTTTCATATCCTTTCCAGTTAATTACTCCACAATCGTCTTATCGCTGGATGCTATAGGTCTGTAATCGGAGTAACTAAAAAATAGCCAAAGCTTATAGGTGACAGGGACACGAAAGATGTTAATGAACTGTAGCAAGAATTCCCTGATTTTAATCATAAACAGCACAATCGAAAAAGGCGTAATTACACGGGATGATGTCGAAAGAGGGCACGTACGTTAAAATATTTGAATTCACCGTCTATTAAAATGCATGCGAACAACAGACGACATTAGACCATTTATTAAGACGCCATTATTAGATTCAGTTACAAGGACTAGACCCATTTTGAAACGCGCAGGTTCCTTTATAGACATGTTGCAAACAATAAACAAATATACACCATTATGGAAGGAACATGACGTATTTCGCGCATTCCCGCAGTGGCAAAGCCCGATTCGTGCGTCTCGGAGACACAGATCTCAAGAGCTCCGTTGATGACGCTGATGTACAGATGTTCAACGTGGCGAGGCGGATAGCCCACCCTGACTACAGGAAGCCCGAGAAATACCACGACATCGCGCTGCTTCAACTAGACAAAGACGTGCGTTTCAACAATTTCGTGAAGCCAGCCTGTCTTCACACGCAGAACGCTGTCCCTGACGACATGCCAATAGCGACGGGCTGGGGGCTCACCGAACCAGGTCAGTGACTGGAGACATCTCCAGCTATGTCAGTCAGTGCATTGAACGTAAAGGGAGTCGGAACAAACAAGAATCAAACAATGGCCTCATATACCATTTTTGTGTTACGAACGTAATAAGTCGGTACAACAACATATTTTATTCCGATTATGTACAGTGTCAGTTACAGTAGTATCATCATCCCGATCTTTATTGAAAGCTTAGGAGCACTACACGTTGAAAAATTAGGTTACTGGACGAACATGCAAACGAAGAAAATCAGCTTTAACATGGCGTGGCGTGAAAAAAAAACACATTTGAAATGTTAGTCTACTCGAAACAGTACACCTTTCAAGTTTTGTTAATGTTATTAGGAATGATTCATAGTTGGCTCCGATGATAACTGATGCTCGTATTTCTGCAAAACTTGTAATCGTCGGCTCAGTGTGATGCTGAACTCCCTATGTTTATTCTTGATCAATGATAATTGTGAGCGGAGCGTAGTCTCTTAGGGATACTACAGGTCCTCTACGTCCAATCTTGTGGTTACTGTAAAAGAACTAGCCCTAACTGCATAAAAAGTAAAACTATTTCCAAACTTAAGAAAATGATCTGTTTCCACTATGAAGCATTCGTAAAATATAAGATCATCTTAATTTTACAACGATCTGATTGACTTAATAAGTACAGACTCACCACTTACACAGGAGTGAGAAACAACCAAATACAACCCCTTTTCAGTTGTTATATTTCCTTTCCCACAAAATATGGGAGAAACCATGAATATCTGAAGGCTGAAGGGCATGAGAGATTGTCAATGCTGATCTTCTGGGTGGTGACGTCGCGTGGACTTGTATGTAGATACCAAAGTTTCAGAGGACTATAATTCCTCTATGATCAGGCAATTGCAGAACGAGGCAGCAAGCACATCTCGAATGTCGGGCGATTGAAGACGAATGCACTGAGTTCCTCCGAAACGCTGGTATATACATACGCGCTTCACGATTCATAAGAGCGTCATAAGACATCCTCGTCGCCGTGAAAGCCTTGAATCTCATTCGGAATGACAGAGGCAGCATAGAAACGGTAGTTTCAAACTCTCAGGTAGGAGGGCGACGGGTAAAAAGCTCCTAAAGGTGGATCTGGAGTTCCAGCCCATGGACAAGTGCAGCGACGCCCTGACCAAGAACGTGAACCCATTACAACTAAAAGAGCAGCTAGGCGCTGGCCTCTTGGAGGACTCCATGTTGTGCGTCGGAGTGCTGGAGGGGGGCAAGGACTCGTGCCAGGTGAGGATGTTCCTCTATATAAGACCTGAGGTTTTTCACAGCGATGAGTATGAAGATTTCTGTCTTCTGGGTTGTTGCGCTGTGCAGTATGGTCGATGTTAACCAACGTTTCAGAGGTCACACTGCCTCTGTCATCAGGGCAATGAATGTTGTCAATTGGCTACACAGTAATCTTCATGTTCCTCTATAAGGATAATTACTGTCATTACAAAATTCATCTGAACGTCTCGGTCAAGTAATTATCAATACTGATATGCACTTGGAAGGAAATAGGTATTCAGGCTATTCTGACTAAAATTATTTTAAAATTGTCCCTAGTCCATTCAGAAAAGTTACAGGATAATAACTTCACTTAGACCAGAACGGATTTCTTCGAAATCCAGTTTACGTCTTCACAAGCTGTTTCCCCTGTTACGCACTTCATGCATCATTCTTCAGGCCGCAGCTATACTGTAATTTCTATATGTTACAGGGTGACTCTGGTGGACCGCTGCAGGTAATGGCTCACTCGCCTATGTGTGACTTCGATATAGTGGGTGTAATATCGTTTGGCGTTTACTGCGCAGTGGAGGACATCCCCGCCATCTACACCCGGGTGTCTAAGTACGTGCCCTGGATCGAAAGTATAGTGTGTTCGTACACAGACAGATCCTGAAGCTTCCTCTCTTTTATTTAGGAATATTTAAGGCTACTCTCAACAAATTAGGTTTACCAATATGGATATCAATGCAAACAGAAAAAATAATGCTTTCTCATCTATCATTCACTTATACACTAATTTAAAAGCTACGCAGTACAACTGAATGGAACGTGAGGCTGGAAATTCCCACAATTTGATAGGGTTCAGAAACTATATTTCTTATAAACACGTTGTATACCACGCTATGGGCGACATTAAGAACACAATTCAACATTGTCTTGTTTTTTATATAGAAGTCTCATGAGAATAAATATAGTTCTGAAACATTTTTGGGAGGAAGAAAAATACCTGTCAATGTATGCTAAGAGCCAATTAAATATTACATACTTAACAATTCCCTTATAATTTAAATAAGAAAATATACCCTATATTTATGGCATCATCGATTTACTGTTCCGGAAAGACTTCGCAGACATTCGGAATACCACGACAATTTTACCACTGGCAGCTAGATCAACAACACCAATGGTTTTGACGGACTCGCAAATTTCTGATGTAGAAAATTAAATGGAGACACTTACCAGCCTGCATAGTCCTAAAACGTTACGTAATACAACTTGATATTAGAAAAAAGGCCTATGCAACTTCTTATTAAGACAAGGCCAGAATATGAAGCAACAGTATTACGTAGGATTTGAGGTTTTCACGACGGCGAGTCTGAAGATTTCTGTCTTCTGGGTTGTTGCGACGTGCAGTCTGGTAGATGTCTACCAACTTTTCAGAGGTCCTTGCTGCCTCCATCATCAGGGCGATGAATAAGCTTTCCGTTTGATAGACGTAATTATTGGGTCATTTATGCCTAGTATGAAGGTAACAAATATGCATAAAATTTTTGTAATTTTTAAAATTGAAGAACAATGCTAAGATGCGAAACTTTGAGGCTGTGTCTGACAAATTTAAATTAATATCTGTGTCAGTGGGAATTATAAACGCTGATTGTTCACTTATTGTTTATGGTAACCCACAGCTGTTTGTATCCCACCTCTAAAGACTGGATCATTTGATGAGAGAATGGCGTTGTGACATCTACACAGCCCTTTTTGATTTGAAGTAGGGGGTAAAATACATAATTTTGCAAAATATATGACGCAATACAGAAATTAAGAGAAAGGAAATAAAAGCTTCTCTTACAAGCGCTGCTTTAACTTAAGGGGACTGTGTGGAGGAAAGCTGTGAAAAATATCTTAGCATAAGCTACATAGTAAGCCCACACAATTTTACAAAAGAAAAATAAAGACAAGAAGGAAAAGAGATTTTTTAAAAAAAGACATGAAGTAATAAGGGCAAATTAAAAAAAATGTGAAGCAAAGAAAACAAGAGAGAGCGAAGAAACAAGAAAAGGAAAATAGCTATACAGCATCATCATATCTTCTTTAAAATTTCATTTCAACATAAAATATTCTGCGTCGTCATCACAGATACTTCGAGTAAAAGACTTCAACCTCCAACCATCACGAATCATTGGAGATCATGCTCACTGGTCTCTGAAATAGCTGGACGCTGAACCCGTTTGCTGGTGTCAGAACCACGCCAGCCTGAAGGTTCCTGTCCAAGGACGTGACTCCCCCTGGCGTTCTTATGCGGTACGCCCTGAGAACTGCGGACAGGATCGTCTTGGCTTCCATCATCCCGTACTTGTACGCCACACAAATCCTGCTCCCACCACCGAAGGGGATATAAGCGTAAGGAGGGTGGCTGCCACCTGAGAAGCGTTCTGGACTGAAGGACTCCGGGTCGGAGAAGTACGCAGAGTTCCTGTGCGTCATGTAGCTGAATATCACAGCGCAGCTGTCTTTCGGAAGGATGTAACCGTTTTCTAGTTGAGTATCTTCTTCAATTTCTCGAAAGAGAAGCGGCACTGGAGGATAAAGACGCATCGTCTCCTTTATAACCTGGGAACAGCATTCAGCTTATGTAACGCAGAGCCTTGAAGTTACTACGTCACAACCAGTCTTGTTTCCCCGAGTGCCCGGAGTAGGCTTTAATGAGACTTTTTGCCGTTTACCTCAAACCCTTCAGGCGGATATTGGAGTGCCTTATAATGACCTACTATAGCTTCCTTCCACTCACTTCAATTTCATCATTCACATTTATCCTACCATTCTCTAAAAAAAGTTGTTAAATAAACTATAAGGCAAACAGTAACTAATTAAGTGGCTGTTTTATAGTCTAAACCAGTCATCGAGTGACTGGATAAATTAAATTGAAACAAAACAAACATTTTGCAAAATTTCATCAGCGGACATTTTATATATAACTTTTCGGACAATACAAACATTTTACTTGAAATTCATGTAAACCATCTTCATCTAAATTCAGATAGTTTCTCAGTTTTCCGCGTAGCTTCTTTAATTGTATTTGACGTTTCGGTAAATACTGTCAACGCTAGTAGGGCCACAATCACTGGATATGGAAACTATAATTTTCTCCAAAACGTCCAATTGATTTAATGAAACTAATGAGTCCAGCTTGAGCACAAAATTTCGTCCACATTTATTTTAAATTCTTTAAGTGCAGAATGATAGTACTCTTTACGAACCGCTTTGAAATAACACAAATATTACAGAGTTTCGAGATAAAATACCGCATACCTGCTCGAGGTACTTCATGCTGCTGAGGTCACTGCTAGTAGCGGCTCTGAGAATGTCCTCTCCAAAGATATTTTTCTGTTCTTCGAAGATTCTGTCCTGGGCTTCCTCGTACACTCCTAATAATGATAACACGTAGCAGCATGTGAGGGCCGTCACCCTGGTACCGGTGACTATGAGGGTGCACAGTTCATCCCTGATGTCATCCAAAGACAACTTGGCGTCTTGTATCAGCAGGTCCAGCAGACACATTTCCTTCCCTCGTATCCACTGTAAATATTCTACTTGCTTCCCGTCTCTGTTCTGACGAAATCCATTGCGATGCGATTCCAATTTATCTTCAATCACCTTATCAACAACTCCATGAAAGTATTTCGCACAAATTTCTTTGTCTTTCTCATTTCGTTTCTTTCCATAGTGTATCCAGTCTTCTATTGTCCAAGGCTTCTTAAATGTTTCCCCTACTTCCTCCATGGCGCACAACAAGATTTTCACAAATACACCGTTTCCTTCCATTTGGGAATTTACATTTGTTCCCATAGTTGCTTCGCACATTACGTCAAGAGCACATGCACACACGAACGGGTAGATGTCAACTATGCAGCCGCCAGCAAGTGATTTAAGTTTTCGTGTTAGGATCGAACTATTCTCAACAAAATTTCCCATAAACTGATCTAGAACATTGCTATTAAAGGTCGATGAAATTATTCTCCGATGATTTTTCCATTTATCACCAGACGTTACTATACCATTACTACTGGCAATACTTGAAACGAACGTATTTTTTTTATTCAGTGCTTTGTTGGTGAGAAGGGTTTCAATGCTTTCTGCATTTGATAAGACTACATATAGTTTATCCCCCTTCCAGAAGCGAACTACTGGTCCATATTTGTTTATGGCTTCAACAAGTTCTTGAAAAAACTGCACAAAATTACAACCTGTAAATGCTGAAACATTACTCAAAATTGGCAATGTCGATGGTCCTGGTAAATTAGATGTAATTGTTCTAAGCCGTTTCTGTGTCCGATAATGGACCAGATAAAGGGGCAAAGATACAGTGAACAGAAGTATAATTGGTACAGTCCACCAGGTTGAATATATGTTAATCCCATGACCCAGAGACTTCACGTATCCCGAGGCGACTTCCGACCATACTCGTGAGGAAACAAAGTTGGTAAAGAGACCGCTGTTTACCTGATTTGCGACGGTCACAATAATCTTCCACCAGGATTCCAACACATGCGGCAGTTCCTTCAAAATTTCACTGCTTATGAAGCTGATGTTATCCATTTTTGTATAAAAATATAATTTAATAAGAAATGAACGATCGGTGTTTGAATCAAGTTATCGTAGTACATCTGTTTCCAAATCGCTCTTATTAAGGGTCATAGCAACTGAATATCTTCTCTTCACATACTTCCATGTGTGGGAAGTGACAGATAGCTTAAGCTGTCGACAGACATCCACGAAAGTTACTTTCTATTAGCACTTATTTAACTCATAAACGTATTCACAGCAAAGGACACAGATTTCTAAGCCAAAACGTATTATGTTTATAGGAAAGAGTTAAAATCACAAATTGGGTTTCCATGAACACATATAACGAAGCAATAGGCTACACCATGTTATTTGAGAATTTAGATTTATAAAATATTATTATGTTAAATGACTACCAAAAAAATTAAATACTTAAACAAAACTGTGGCCCGCTGCCAAACTGTTAACCGTATACAAACAGCTGGTGACGAACAAACTGTTACGATAATAAATTTGAGCGATAAATGCACATTCAACTCCGATCTGTTCCGCTCTGCCCCGTTGCACGCAAGACGTCTGAGGAACGAGTCGGATGTGCGAACGCCTCGCCCCGCTGGTGTGGACATGCACACTCACTGCCCATAAACACAACGTCATTTATAGGGATTCAATGACGTTGTTAAGCCTTGGCACCTAGATTACATAACGTTAAATGCAAGTATAACTAATGCGAAATAAAATGACACATGGCCAAGCATTTTGGAGAGGCTGAACAAGAGATGGGTAGGCGTACAGAAGTTCCTACCCTTGTGTTTTCTCGTTAGTTATGTTAAAGTCGATTGGTATCACAGGCCACTGTGAAAGCGACTCACAAGTGCAATTCTCATTGGCGTCAGTTATACTTTGTTTTTGTTTGAGACGAAGGATAAAAAGCTGAATAATTAATAACTGACGTTCAAAGGCTTTCAAAACACCACGACACTTACAGGCACTTCATCAGATGTTTCGAAACTTGATTTAAAGAGTACAAGGGTTACTTCATTGTTTGACGTACACAGGACAGACAAAGAGAACAACAACAGCTCACGGAGACTTAATTATCCTCGGTTCTTCCGTCCTACATATTACGAAACACCTTCAAAGGACAAAACAGTTTCTACATGAATAGTAACGTAAACGTATTTAAATTGGGTGACTGCAGTCTATAATTCATAAAGTACAATTATGTATCGACCGGGGTTCGATCCCCGACGGGGGCAGAGGATTTTTCCTCTAGCCTCTGTGTCCAGACCGGCTCTGGGGCCCACCCAGCCTCCTATCCAATGGGTACCGGGGTCCTTTCCCGGGGGTAAAGCCGGCCGGGGCGTGATGCTGGCCACTCACCCCCATCTAGTGCCGAGGTCAAGAAAGAGAGGAGCTATACCTCCACTCACCCCAAACGCCTACATGGCGTATAGCGGGACAAACTTTACTTTTACAATTATGTATAGAAATTATAAGCGCAAAGAAAATGCACAACTGATGAGAAATTCATAAATACAAATTACGTACATAAGTTGTTAAATGTCTAAAATACAGACTTGGTCCTGGCTAGTTTGTTTCTATGTTTAATTAATGATACCGTCCCAGCAATAACGATTATAGAGTATCTAATGAAAATCATTCATAACTATCACACCATATCATATCACATTCCACAATACAAACACCTCAAACTGACACGCTTTAACTAAACGAGTGATTTAAGCGTCTTAAATCATAATGGCGACACATCAACTATGTTCCTGTTTAAAATCCAATTTTAGAAATTCATAACCCAACACGTGATAAAATTAGATTATACCTTTCAGACTGAAACGACACCTGACCGTAATCTTGAAGAGTGCTAGGGTAAAACTCAGAAATATGCAAAATAACAAGAATGTGAAAGATCTAATAATGTTTTATTTCTTATGGTAATATACGCACAAACGAACTGACCTGAGACGATCCGTGGAAGAAAAGCTCACACTGCACTCAATAAATACGCCTACGACGAAAGTTTCCTTCTTACTAAAAAGCATTGCCTTCATATGCTAGTAATCGAAACTCATTCAGAACGACAAGAAGGAACAGAAAACATACGCATGACTTCAACTTTCTCGAAATTCAGTGGCTTTCCTACATTTGTTCTGTGTTAAGATCTTCTGCTGAAACAAGTGAAGAAGCATTTATTGTACTAATTACATTATAAATTAAAGCTTTTATGTAAAGTGGTCGTTAAAATTATCCAATCTAAATTCATACTGGAATGGCTTGAAATTTTTCGTAAACTTATGCAGTACCAAATTCAATGAAAATCGGTTTATGCGTTCTCGAGTTATTTCATGGATACTGATAGCCGAACCAAAGAACGGACGACAACGGAGCGATTATAACAGGATGGCGAAAGCGCCTAAAATTTACTCTAAAAACAATAATCTGCCAAACTACATAGCCTCATGAGGTACTTACACATATTATCCGCTTGCTCTTAAAATTTCGCTTTATAGCCACCTTTTATTGTTGAGAGTTCTTTGTCTTCCTGTTTCTGTATTTACTACATTCGTTCTTTTTTCTTTCTTTCTGTTGGTTTCTTTAAGACAAACGGCATGACTCCATTGAAGAAGAATCCAAGCATCTCAAGGCGTTATTCATTAGATTTAGATTGACATTTATAACTTTTATTTGAAACGCTTTGCGATGGAATGAATATCAAACACTGACATTGACATTTATTGAGTCTATTGGTACTTACAATTTGCAGTGTCGGACATGACTGGTCTTCTTGTCCGACTTCTCCCTATATTTACATTCATCTACACTCTATTTCTTTCTACAAAACCTATCTTTTTCCATTTCTCTTCTCATATTACTTAACATAGCACAGCCAATACAAACGCTTTTAAACACCAATATATCGGTCAAGATTCGAACCCATAATTAAGGTGCTGGAACGATCGAACCCCGCGTTGCTACTGTCAGCAGCACAGTAATAACTGTAACAAACAGAGACGGAAAGGACGAACCATGAATGCAGCGGAAAATGTCAGCATGAATATTGATGTCTTGTGTTAAATGGAACCTTCCCAAGGCACCGATTCTTCGTTGTTTGTGCGGCACCCTGAGTCTTATGCCACCTGACGGCTGTTCCTACAACTCGCTGACGGATGAATAAGTGCGTTTCTCGCTTTTCGGGGATTCAAAATTTAGCGGTATTAATCCGCCTTCATGGCTTGAACTCTTTTTGTACAGAATGTACCATTCAAGACTCAGCAATAATCACAACTGGTGTACACAAATAAAATCAAGATGAGGTTTACTACGTGTAATAGACTCTCGGAACCTCCACAATGATACTAGAGGAAGACCCTGGTTCCTCGGCCGCTACGCAAAGGCTGTGAGTGTAAGGTCATGGTGTTTTCAAGAGTGTTCATTCTCGAACATTACTTCGGATCGTAATCGTTTGCTGCTTTTCGTGAAGAAAAGGGATTTATTCTGATAGGGAAGTACCGAATGAGACACTACATCGTTTTGGGACACAGGAAGAATTCGTGGCAAGCGCTCATTGAGTCACAAAACAAAACAGTTCATCAATCAGCTGCAGCAACGTGATACGGCTGCAAAAATTCAATATGGCCGATGGTTTCCTTGCTTTGTGCGAGAAGGAATTCATGTGCAATTAGGGAAGTTTTTAGTCGCAAGACCTAAGATAGGAAGACAAGTTCAGAGATACAGGCGCAGACAAGTGAATAATATTAAAATCTTATACAAACTTAACATAGTGTGAGGATGTAACTGGATTCTGCTCGCCATTACAGCTCTGCGGTAACTGATTCGTTTGTAAAACACAGAAGTTAAAAGCCAACGATACATAAAACGGAATACCGTCGTTGACAAAACTAAATACAAATGAATATGGCGGTTGGAGAGAGACTATTGTATGTGACTGAAAGGGCTCAAATGATTTCTTGATTAACAAACTAACGAACTCACTACCTCTCTACACGCTTATCTGAGTGCGTACCAACCGAAAAATTAGTCAACAAACCACCTAAGTGACTGACTAAATTTACTGTATACAGCAATCGAAAAAAAACTAATAATTATTCGGGAGAT